GAAATTCACAATACTTCTATAGAAAAGAACAGCATTTCTATAGAAATTATTGCAGATATAATTTTTTTCTATAGAAAACTATATAAATCTCTATGGAAAATAACAGCATTTCTATAGAAATTATTGCAAGATATAATATATTTTCTATGGAAAACTGTATTATTCTCTATAGAAATGTACAGAATTTCTACAGAAATAATGCTGATATATTATATTTTCTATAGGAAAAAAAAAACCAGCATTTCTATAGAAAATAGAAAATAACGCTGATAAAATTAATTTTCATAGAAATTTACAGCAATTCTCTAGAAAATAATGCTGATATAGTTTTTTTTATATCGTTCAATCACTAAAAAATTGTTTTCACGAATCAAAAAAAAGTGTAAAAATAAAAAATCATAGGCCTACAAGATTATTGTAATGTACAAATGTGTTTTGGTAGTTCATGGCAGGAAACATGAAATGTTTGAACCCACTGTACAGAAATCTCAACAAAATGTATTCATTCTCAAGATCTTTATTTAACACATATTAAACATAACAGGTCAAACAACCAAACTAAAATAATGTTTGCATTGCATCATCTAAAAGTAGAAAAAAACAACTGGATTCAATATCTTAAAAGAATAAACTGCATTGAATTTTACTAGCATTATGAAGTCACACAATGTAGCACTAGTGGTATTGTGCAAACATATAAAGATTTATAAAAATTATTTTACAGTATATAATAGTTGTATTTACAGTAAATTGCAGGCCTATACAAAATATTATAAATAAATTAAATAACATCAAGGTACTGTAAGCGATATTGATAAGGGTAGATGAAAGAAAAAGTTTTATATATTTTTATATACTATTACAGTACAGTATTAGATTTAACTTTACACGAATTTAATAGATGTGAAAGAAAAAAAAAATTCCAAAACATAAGGTGGATAACCCTGCACTGTATGGACCGTTCATAATTATCAACAAATGTATAAACAGTATGCTAAGGGAGAAAAGGCCTGGTACTAAATACAAAATTAAGTGAAAGGAATTTACAAAAGCTTAAAATATTGATTAAAATCGGTTTTCTAAATTTAATAACATGCCAATATGGATATATTTAAACCTAATTATGTATTCATTCTCAAGATCTTTATTTAACACATATTAAACATATATATAACAGGTCAAACAACCAAACTAAAATAATGTTTGCATTGCATCATCTAAAAGTAGAAAAAAACAACTGGATTCAATATCTTAAAAGAATAAACTGCATTGAATTTGACTAGCATTATGAAGTCACACGATGTAGCACTAGTGGTATTGTGCAAACATATAAAGA